ACGGGTATGTTTACTGTTTCACGGTATCAAAAATACTGCTCCGTTTGGATATAGTAGTTAGTGATTAAGTTTTTACATTTTACAAGGGAAATATGACATCACATGATTATACAAAATACTGATGTGGGGACGAGTTGTTATAATGTCACGAAGATATGAAGACATTGGTTGGTTCACAGGATTTCTGTCTCCGCGACTCCCCGCGTTGCCGGGCAACGCCTCACCAGGACGAACGTCTGTGTTCTTGCGAAATGAAGAAACATTTCAGGTACATTTGTAAGCAAGTGCAAGTAACCGTGAAACATGGTCTCCTTAATTATTCAAAAGTTCAACGGCTTATCATAATTTCTTGATGATTCCATTTGCTTTCTGTTCCTGGAAGATAAGCAATTTTGTTTTTTATATTAACTTGGCTCTGTACATGGCATGTCCTCTGTCCTCCTTTCCAGGAGTATGTAGGATCCTATCAAGCAAAAACTGATTTACTACTACGAAATTCGACCTACAAGAAATGAAACGAAGACCATGGGTTTAGTTTTAATTCTTACTGATGTTAAGGGAAACTCACCTAGAGCGTGTCATTTACTGGGCAACGACTGTATGTATAACAATAAATGTGACAACGAAAAATACGATAGATCGGAAAAAAAAAGTTTTCTATTCACATCGCAGCAGTAAATAGGTTTGGCCAATAGGATGCTGATCATAACATGTTCAGTTAGAACTAGGTATACAATACTGATCCTCTAAGTTTCTTGAGCTTTCGACAGTTAAAATTAAACAAGTTTTTTGTTTATGCTGTGGAATTTATTTATTCCTTGTCACTAGGAAACAGAACAAAAGCCTCACTTTGATCACATCAGGTGACGTATCTGTTCATAATTGTATATGTATATCAAAGTCATACCAGCCATGAAAAACACATAAAATTCTCTCAATGAAGTTGAATCCAAGAAATCTTATCATTCAGTTAAGGCAGGGAGTCACGTGGTTTCTCACCGTATGATCCATCCTCGATACTCAAGGGGTTACCATCATTTTCGCTCTCTGCAAATCTAAATGGCATATTCTTTTTTATTCTCGGCTATTGTTCTTACTCCCACAACACCGTCATAGATCACGTGATCGGGTGGCGCAGTGATAACGTACTCTCCTTTCACTAGCCGACCGGGGTTCGATTCCTGGAACGGACGTGAAAAGGTAAGAGGTTACCTTCCCGACCACGTGGGTTTTCCCCGTTGTTGTAAAATAAATAAAGTTTATATTTATAGATCACGTGATTTTCCATCGTAGAATACATGAATCATTTTATGCATTGAAGATTATTGGGTATACATACTTAATCATACATCACATATATAACACCAGCCAACAGAATCTGGATAAAGGGATCAACCGCGGGAGCTGTGAACCAACAGGGATAGTACGTCTGCGAATAAAGCAAGGCACAACAACAGATTCTATACATATGCAAACAATACTACTCCGCAATCTTCGTGTCTGTCCTGTCCTCCTACAGACAGCTTGGTTACGGACGGACTGCTTTGAAATAACATTGAAAATATTCACATCTCAATGTAACATTTTTTGTGATTCACACTTCACGCTTAGCGCCCAAATAAAATGATTGACTGATGTGATATATATTTTTAAAAAATCTCACAACAATCGGTTTCTGTGACCTTTTTCAGACAGTGTAATCAACATACTTTGGAAATACCAATATTGAAAATTTACGTCACACAACTTTGACATCGGCAGTGTCTAATTATGAAAATGAGTTGTGTAACAGTTAACAAATACAAATTAACAGTGTACTTAACACAATAAGCGATATGTATTGTGGTGTTTTAAAAAACAAGACGAGAACATTGAAGACGTCACGCATAACACTAATTAAATCGATAGATATCACAAAAAAAAAAAAAAAACGGAGTCGTCTCCCCTTGACCACGAGTAAGTGTGCTATGATAATGCTTAAACTATCGGGAAAAAGACCTTGTTGTTTGATTCAAGGTTTCAAAAAATCAAAAATCCTCCTTCTCCATAATCCCACAAGAAATAACAGTGACAGGAGAATTGAAGAAATTATACATTGACAGGTAACATTATCAATTAATCAAAATCAATTAAAATACAGGTAATTGTTGTATATATCGCATTTGCTGACCGAAAAATCAATATGCTTGTAACAAATAGATCGATATTTCAACTTCATAAATCCGATTCTTTACCTTCAGTGATACTCTCCGTACAATAACACCGATTCTTTACCTTCAGTGACACTCTCCGTACAATAACACCGATTCTTTACCTTCAGTGACACTCTCCGTACAATGACACCGATTCTTTACCTTCAGTGACACTCTCCGTACAATGACACCGATTCTTTACCTTCAGTGACACTCTCCGCACAATAACACCGATTCTTTACCTTCAGTGACACTCTCCGTACAATAACACCGATTCTTTAGCTTCAGTGACACTCTCCGTACAATAACACCGATTCTTTACCTTCAGTGACACTCTCCGTACAACAACACCGATTCTTTACCTTCAGTGACACTTTCCGTACAATAACACCGATTCTTTACCTTCAGTGACACTCTCCGTACAATAACACCGATTCTTTAGCTTCAGTGACACTCTCCGTACAATGACACCGATTCTCTACCTTCAGTGACACTCTCCGTACAATAACACCGATTCTTTAGCTTCAGTGACACTCTCCGTACAACAACACCGATTCTTTACCTTCAGTGACACTCTCCGTACAATAACACCGATTCCCTACCTTCAGTGATACTCTCCGCACAATGACACCGATTCCCTACCTTCAGTGACACTCTCCGTACAATAACACCGATTCTTTACCTTCAGTGACACTCTTCATACAATAAAACCGATTCTTTACCTTCAGTGACACTCTCCGTACAATGACACCGATTCTCTACCTTCAGTGACACTCTCCGTACAACAACACCGATTCTCTACCTTCAGTGACACTCTCCGTACAATGACACCGATTCTTTACCTTCAGTGACACTCTCCGTACAATGACACCGATTCTTTAGCTTCAGTGACACTCTCCGTACAATGACACCGATTCTTTACCTTCAGTGACACTCTCCGCACAATAACACCGATTCTTTACCTTCAGTGACACTCTCCGTACAATAACACCGATTCTTTAGCTTCAGTGACACTCTCCGTACAATGACACCGATTCTTTACCTTCAGTGACACTCTCCGCACAATAACACCGATTCTTTACCTTCAGTGACACTCTCCGTACAATGACACCGATTCTTTAGCTTCAGTGACACTCTCCGTACAATGACACCGATTCTTTACCTTCAGTGACACTCTCCGTACAATGACACCGATTCTTTAGCTTCAGTGACACTCTCCGTACAATAACACCGATTCTTTACCTTCAGTGACACTCTCCGTACAACAACACCGATTCTTTACCTTCAGTGACACTCTCCGTACAATGACACCGATTCTTTACCTTCAGTGACACTCTCCGTACAATAACACCGATTCTTTACCTTCAGTGACACTCTCCGTACAACAACACCGATTCTTTACCTTCAGTGACACTCTCCGTACAATGACACCGATTCTCTACCTTCAGTGACACTTTCCGTACAATAACACCGATTCTTTACCTTCAGTGACACTCTCCGTACAATAACACCGATTCTTTACCTTCAGTGACACTTTCCGTACAATAACACCAATTCTGTCTTAATACAAATATCATAAAAATGAATTGTTCTGGGACAATCCGGTTGATTTTGTCACGGTTGGTATAAGTGTTTTAGCCTTCCTCAGCGATACAAGTGATAATCAAGTTTTTATCACAAACCATCGGACACAGATGACACTCTAATTTTGTGGTATAGAGTGACCTGTTAGCATACCGGGTATTTCCACTTATCATTTGTCTATTGACAGGTGTGGTCCTTTATTTCATCACAACGTTGAGATCCGACCGTAGATATGTAATTACATGTCGAGAAGGTCTGAAAGAAGATATGTAATTACATGTGTAGGAATCCGAGAGTAGTATGTAAGTACAGGTGTGGAGATCCGGCAGAGGGATGTAATTACAGGTGTAGGAATCCGAGAGTAAAAATGTAATTACAGGTGTAGGGATCCGACAGTAAAAATGTAATTACAGATGTAGGGATCCGACAGTAGAATGTAATTACAGGTGCGGAGATTCGACATTAGTATGTAATCACATGTGTAGGAATCCGTGAGTAGTATGTAATTACAGGTGTGGAGATCCGGCAGAGGAATGTAACTACATGTGTAAGAATCCGACAGTATAATTGTAATTAAAGGTGTAGAGATCCGACAGTAGAATGTAATTACATGTGTGGGAATGCGAAAGTAAGGATGTAATTACATGTGTAGGAATCCGAGAGTAAATATGTAATTACAGGTGTTGGGATCCGAAATTAAGGATGTAATTACATGTGTAGGAATCCGAGAGTAAATATGTAATTACAAGTGTTGGGATCCGAAAGTAAGGATGTAATTACATGTGTAGGAATCCGAGAGTAAATATGTAATTACAGGTGTGGGAATCCGAAAGTAAGGATGTAATTACATGTGTAGGAATCCGAGAGTAAATATGTAATTACAGGTGTGGAGATCCGAAAGTAAGGATGTAATTACAGGTGTATGGATCCGACAGTAAATATGTAATTACATGTGTGGTAAATCCGAAAGTAAGGATGTAATTACAGGTGTATGGATCCGACAGTAGAATGTAATTACATGTGTGGGAATCCGAAAGTAAGGATGTAATTACAGGTGTAGGTATCCGACAGTAATATGTATTTACAAGAGTGGAGATCCGACAGAACATTTCAGGTGATTGTTATAGATGTAGTCGTTATGATATTAACAACATTTTGTCCTTGATATCCAAATAAAAACCAACATTTTTTTTTTTTGGGGGGGGGGGGGGGGGGGGTTACGTTTTAGCATCGACTGTGTTCCTCAAGCATATCACTTGTGACAACTAAGTCACACAGTTCCGTACTGTCCGAGGGTTTCACCATGTCAGTGCTTTTGTCTGGAGTGATAGTCTGGCGACAGGTGCTGTAGGACACATCAGTGTGGCTCCAGCGTGGGATTAACACATTTGGCTCCTTCAGGCAACGCTTACAGCAGGGACAGGTCCTCCGTAGCTGTCCTCGGTAGCTGAAGGTACTGCAACGATAATGAAACAAACACGTGACGTCACTAATAAAACTTATTGAGGCTTTCTTAATCAGATGACGTCATCAATAATTACTGAAAGTTATTCATAACGAGAATAAAGTCGGTTTATTTTATCAATGCACCTATAACACGGTACACATACCTTATTTATAGTTTATCTTCATTGATAAGACATATTTTAAAACTTTCTTGAACGGATTAGGAATTATTACGCAGATCTACTAGCCAATTAGAAGCGGCTTAACAAACAATGACGGCATAGCTAGCAGAGCATGGGTCAGTAAGCTTATACCAATATATATATATATATGATATCATAAACTGTGCATCGCATTGTACTAATAAAGTGATGCCATTTTAACATTGAATTTCCTATCGATTCGAAATTTCTAAACGTCCATATCTGGACGCAATTATTCGTTGTTTTCCCAAAAGTCGGATAAATTTGTGATTATATTAAGAAAATGTTTATTTTTTCAGAACCTGTTGATCTAGTATTCGCCTTCCCTACTACGTCGTCTTTGCTGTATCGTCAGGGTGCGGCGCAAGACTTTTACATAAGACTAAACCTTCCGTTGAAATGTGTAAAGGCCATGCTAGGACGCTGTTACACAAAACCTCAGTCAATTATTTCTTAGACAAACCTGATTATCCTACAGAAGAAAGATTCTATAGAAGTTTATCTATTCCCATTATTGGGGCCCCGCTTCTGGTCCTAGTGGGGCCGAGACCCACAATTTAAAAAAAAAACTTATATCCCCTTCCGTCAGCTCCCCCCCCCCTAAAAAAATGCTACTGACAAAATTTGGTAAAATTTCGTTCAGTTGTATATGACTGATAGCGATTTTTGTAATGAAAAAATAACGGACGTCAGACACCGGACAACATACGGAGGAATGACGCCACGTCACATGATAAATGATAAAGTAGGTCACAATCGCATAGTTTTATTAAAATCGCCATATTGTTAGGTGATAGACACAACAATGAATTAACCGAGAATTTGTCTTTTATCAATGTCTACATGATATCCGACTTCATTCTGTCACAACTGAGTGAAAAAGTAATACAGTGTGTTAGGTACAGATATGGTTTTAATAACATGCCTGTTCTCTGTTATTATGTGATCATAAATATAGTATGGCATACATGTTATACAAAAAAAGCAAAAAAAAAAAACAAAAAACAAAACAAAACAAACAAAAAAAACAACAATATGTGATGTCATATACAAATGACGTCTCGTGCTTGTATATGTAGTTACCACGAGAGTCCGAGTAAGATTTCACCTGTTTTGTGAGTGGTTTTAGATATTTACTTATTTTGATATGATTATTTGATAAATAGTATCTTCAATTTGTATCAGTGTGAAATAGAATATTAAACTCATTAAATAATCTAATATGTCGCTTAAAGACTTCTAGATCATATATTCTAGTGGTCGAATGAAAAGACAACGGGGGTTCAATTTCTCGATCTGAAGAGAAACAAGCACGGGGTTCCGTGGTGATACCCTGCTCCCAATCTCATCTCGACTGAAAAAGCTGTTGATATTCATTGTTCTAACATGGATCATATATGTTGTAAAAATTAAAAAGTGGAGTTAATATTTAACTACTTTAATGGAAAAAATTATAGTAAGCGTTTTGCCCAGTGGTAACTTACAAGCACTCTTCTTGTCATCTGTAAAAAATATACACACCAGTGTATCCCATTTACATAAAATCTCATAACTCGAATTATAATGCGTCTGTCCAAACTCTGTAGCCACTGCTCTTGAGATCTAAGTCTCGTTCGACACAATAAGAGTATAAGGGGAAGTAGACGTTACACAAGGGGAGTAGACGTTACACAAGGGGAATAGACGTTACACAAGGGAGTAGACGTTACACAAGGGGAGTAGACGTTACACAAGGGGAATAGACGTTACACAAGGGGAATAGACATTACACAAGGGAGTAGACGTTATACAAGGGAAAGTAGACGTTACACAAGGGAAATGGACGTTACACAAGGGGTGTAGACGATACACAAGGGGAGTAGACATTACACAAGGGGAGTAGACGTTACACAAGTGGAATATACGTTACACAAGGGGAATAGACGTTACACAAGGGAGTAGACGTTACACAAGGGGAATAGACGTTACACAAGGGGAATAAACGTTACACAAGGGAGTAGACGTTACACAAGGGGAGTAGACGTTACACAAGGGGAATAGACGTTACACAAGGGGAATAGACGTTACACAAGGGGAATAGACATTACACAAGGGAAGTAGACGTTACACAAGGGAAGTAGACTTTACACAAGGGGAATAGACGTTACACAAGTTAAATGAACGTTACACTTGGGGAGTAGACATCACACAAGAGGAGTAGACGTTACACAAGGGGAAGTAGACGTTATACAAGAGGAATAGACGTTACACAAGGGAAGTAGACGTTACACAAGTGGAATATACGTTACACAAGGGAAATGGACGTTACACTTGGGGAGTAGACATCACACAAGAGGAGTAGACGTTACACAAGGGGAAGTAGACGTTATACAAGGGGAATATACGTTACACACAGGGGAAGTAGACGTTACACAAGGGAATAGACGTTTACACAAGGGGAATAGACGTTACACTTGGGGATAAATGGAGTAGACGTTACACACGTTGGAATAGACGTTACACAAGGGTAGACATCACACAAGAGGAGTAGACGTTACACAAGGGGGGAAGCGGAATAGACGTTACACAAGGGAAGTAGACATTACACAAGGGAAATAGACGTTACACAAGGGGAAGTAGACGTTATACAAGGGGAATAGACATTATACAAGAGGAATAGACGTTACACTAGGGAAGTAGACGTTACACAAGTGGAATATACGTTACACAAGGGAAATGGACGTTACACTTGGGGAGTAGACATCACACAAGAGGAGTAGACGTTACACAAGGGGAAGTAGACGTTATACAAGGGGAATATACGTTACACAGGGGAAGTAGACGTTACACAAGGGAAGTAGACTTTACACAAGGGGAATAGACGTTACACAAGATAAATGAACGTTACACTTGGGGAGTAGACATCACACAAGAGGAGTAGACGTTACACAAGGGGAAGTAGACGTTACACAAGCGGAATAGACGTTACACAAGGGAAGTAGACATTACACAAGGGAAATAGACGTTACACAAGGGGAAGTAGACGTTATACAAGGGGAATAGACGTTACACAAGGGAAGTAGACGTTACACAAGGGAAGTAGACTTTACACAAGGGGAATAGACATCACACAAGGGGAAGTAGACGTTACACATGCGGAATAGACGTTACACAAGGGAAGTAGACATTACACAAGGGGAACAGACGTTACACAAGGGGAATAAACGTTACACAAGGGAAGTAGACGTTACACAAGGGGAATAGACGTTACACAAGGGGAGTAGACGTTATACAAGTGGAATAGACGACGTTATTGAAGGGGAATTGACGTTACACAAGCGGAATAGACGTTACACAAGGGAAGTAGACGTTACACAAGGGGAATAGACGTTACACAAGGGGAATAGATGTTACACAAGGGGAATAGACGTTACACAAGGGAATAGACGTTACACAAGGGAAGTAGACGTTACACAAGGGGAATAGACGTTACACAAGTGGAATATACGTTACACAAGGGAAATGGACGTTACACTTGTGGAGTAGACATCACACAAGAGGAGTAGACGTTACCCAAGGGGAAGTAGACGTTATACAAGAGGAATAGACGTTACACAAGGGAAGTAGACGTTACACAAGGGGAATAGACGTTACACAAGGGGAATAGACGTTACACAAGGGAAGTAGACGTTACACAAGGGGAATATACGTTACACAAGGGGAATAGACGTTACACAAGGGGAATATACGTTACACAAGGGAAATGGACGTTACACTTGTGGAGTAGACATCACACAAGAGGAGTAGACGTTACACAAGGGGAAGTAGACGTTATACAAGAGGAATAGACGTTACACAAGGGAAGTAGACGTTACACAAGTGGAATATACGTTACACAAGGGAAATGGACGTTACACTTGGGGAGTAGACATCACACAAGAGGAGTAGACGTTACACAAGGGGAAGTAGACGTTATACAAGGGGAATATACGTTACACAAGGGAAGTAGACGTTACACAAGGGAAGTAGACTTTACACAAGGGGAATAGACGTTACACAAGTTAAATGAACGTTACACTTGGGGAGTAGACATTACACAAGAGGAGTAGACGTTACACAAGGGGAAGTAGACGTTACACAAGCGGAATAGACGTTACACAAGGGAAGTAGACATTACACAAGGGAAATAGACGTTACACAAGGGGAAGTAGACGTTATACAAGGGGAATAGACGTTACACAAGGGAAGTAGACGTTACACAAGGGAAGTAGACTTTACACAAGGGGAATAGACATCACACAAGGGGAAGTAGACGTTACACAAGCAGAATAGACGTTACACAAGGGAAGTAGACATTACACAAGGGGAATAGACATTACACAAGGGAGTAGACATTACACAAGGGGAATAGACGTTACACAAGTTAAATGAACGTTACACTTGGGGAGTAGACATCACACAAGAGGAGTAGACGTTACACAAGGGGAAGTAGACGTTATACAAGAGGAATAGACGTTACACAAGGGAAGTAGACGTTACACAAGTGGAATATACGTTACACAAGGGAAATGGACGTTACACTTGGGGAGTAGACATCACACAAGAGGAGTAGACGTTACACAAGGGGAAGTAGACGTTATACAAGGGGAATATACGTTACACAGGGGAAGTAGACGTTACACAAGGGAAGTAGACTTTACACAAGGGGAATAGACGTTACACAAGATAAATGAACGTTACACTTGGGGAGTAGACATCACACAAGAGGAGTAGACGTTACACAAGGGGAAATAGACGTTACACAAGCGGAATAGACGTTACACAAGGGAAGTAGACATTACACAAGGGAAATAGACGTTACACAAGGGGAAGTAGACGTTATACAAGGGGAATAGACGTTACACAAGGGAAGTAGACGTTACACAAGGGAAGTAGACGTTACACAAGCGGAATAGACGTTACACAAGGGAAGTAGACATTACACAAGGGAAATAGACGTTACACAAGGGTAAGTAGACGTTACACAAGGGGAAGTAGACGTTATACAAGGGGAATATACGTTACACAGGGGAAGTAGACGTTACACAAGGGGAATAGACATCACACAAGGGGAAGTAGACGTTACACATGCGGAATAGACGTTACACAAGGGAAGTAGACGTTACACAAGGGGAAGTAGACGTTATACAAGAGGAATAGACGTTACACAAGGGAAGTAGACGTTACACAAGGGAAATAGACTTTACACAAGGGGAATAGACGTTACACAAGTTAAATGAACGTTACACTTGGGGAGTAGACATTACACAAGAGGAGTAGACGTTACACAAGGGGAAGTAGACGTTACACAAGCGGAATAGACGTTACACAAGGGAAGTAGACATTACACAAGGGAAATAGACGTTACACAAGGGGAAGTAGACGTTATACAAGGGGAATAGACGTTACACAAGGGAAGTAGACGTTACACAAGGGAAGTAGACTTTACACAAGGGGAATAGACATCACACAAGGGGAAGTAGACGTTACACAAGCGGAATAGACGTTACACAAGGGAAGTAGACATTACACAAGGGGAATAGACGTTACACAAGGGGAATAAACGTTACACAAGGGAAGTAGACGTTACACAAGGGGAATAGACGTTACACAAGGGGAGTAGACGTTATACAAGTGGAAAAGACGACGTTATTGAAGGGGAATTGACGTTACATACTAGTCATATAATGATTGCAACACTAAGGCAGTTTTACTATAACGTACTATTTTGATTCAAAATAGAAACATCTAATGGCTAACTTACACGAGATGATGACACGTCCGGGAGCTGAAGATACCGTAGATGACGGGGTTGAGCGCGCTGTTGAGCGGGGCCAAGCTTTGAATGAAGGCGTACAAGCCTACCACTAGCTGACTACTAAAGTCCAGGTGTCCAAACACGCCTAGAAGGTTGACAATAAAATACGGGCTCCAACACAGAATGAACACTGAAAAATAATATATACTATATATACACGTACGGACTACATTGACCTTTGTGTTGATGTGATGGTGATGTGATGCTATTTTTGTGTTTTGACGCGTTATATAATATGTCTGTGTTTTGACGCTGTGATGTGCATTGTCAGCGCGTTGACGCTGTGATGTGAGTTGTCTGCGCTTTGACGCTGTGATGTGATTTGTCTATGTTTTGACGCTGTGATGTAATTTGTGTGTGTTTTAACGCTGTGATGTGATTTGTCTATGTTTTGACGCTGTGAGGTGAATGGGCCGTCCGGACGCCGTAGTATAGTGCTTTTTGCCTCTTAACACTGAAGTATAGTTTGTTTGTGTTTGACGCTGTGGTAAAGTTTGGTTTTTTTGACACTTTGGTATACATGTATCTTATCTGTGAATTGATACGGAAGTAAGTGAAATGAACGATAAAAATTCCTTTGAAACATGTGGATCTGACTAACGATGTTATAAATTATAAGCTCGACAAAAAACCAATTAACACGGTATCGTTGTCGATAAAACTCAGCCAACACATGCGGCTGATGCTAACTCACTTCAAAGTTTGTTTTTTTTCTGTTTTGTTTTCTCAAAGATGATAACAGTTTCAGCTTTGATGTAGTTGATCACCAGTGAATTTTAACGATAGATAATAATACACGCACCCCTGATGAATGGGCTTTTAGTAATCAAATTCATACGGTCGTAAATGATCATTGCGGTTGATGACAATGCACGTGTATGTGTAAAATCTGTCATAATTGCAAAATAAGGGAGAAATGGACATCTGACCGCCTCTTACATAACCTCTTGTAGGTGTCCGGACAAGGCAGCCACGATCGTCCTTGGTTTTAGAAATAAGACGAGTAAAGTCTTACGAAATAATAATCAGTTTTATCACCGAGAACTCTGTCCACTATCGTCTATCAACAATACAGCTATAAAAACGGTAACCATATATTAAAATAGATAATGAATTTAGACACATTTTCAGGCTTTCTAGTAGGTAACAATTATTAAGGTTATGGGCAGTACTGCCCTCCAACCTTAAAGATATACCCACCTTTCACAATGCCCTATGATATCATAGATATACCCACCTATTACAATGTCCTCCAACCTTATTGACATACCCACCTATTACAATGCCCTCCAACCTTATTGACATACCCACCTATTACAATGCCCTCCAACCTTATAGATATACACACCTATTACAATTTCCTCCAACCTTATAGATATACCTACCTATTACAATGCCCTCCAACCTAATAGAAATACCAACCTATTACAATGCCCTCCAACCTTATAGATATACACACCTATTACACACCTATTACAATTTCCTCCAACCTTATAGATATACCAACCTATTACAATGCCCTCCAACCTTATAGATATACACACCTATTACAATGCCCTCCAACCTTATAGATATACACACCTATTACAATGCCCTCCAACCTTATAGATATACCTACCTATTACAATGCCCTCCAACCTAAAAGAAATACCAACCTATTACAATGCCCTCCAACCTTATAGATATACCCACCTATTACAATGCCCTCCAACCTTATAGATATACACACCTATTACAATTTCCTCCAACCTAATAGATATACCTACCTATTTCAATGCCCTCCAACCTAATAGATATACCAACCTATTACAATGCCCTCCAACCTTATAGATATATTTCCTCCAACCTAATAGATATACCTACCTATTTCAATGCCCTCCAACCTAATAGATATACCAACCTATTACAATGCCCTCAAACCTTATAGATATACCCACCTATCACAATGCCCTCCAACCTTATAGATATACCCACCTATTACAATGCCCTCCAACCTTATAGATATACACACCTATTACAATGCCCTCCAACCTTATCGATATACCCACCTATCACAATGCCTTCCAACCTTATAGATATAACTACCTATTACAATGCCCTCCAACCTTATAAATATACACACCTATTACAATGCCCTCCAACCTTATAGATATACCCATCTATCACAATGCCCTCAAACCTTATAGATATACCCACCTATCACAATGCCCTCCAACCTTATAGATATACCCACCTATCACAATGCCCTCAAACCTTATAGATATATCCACCTATTACAATGCCCCCAACCTTATAGATATACACACCTATTACCATGCCCTCCAACCTTATAGATATACCCACCTATTACAATGCCCTCCAGCCTTATAGATATACCCACCTATTACAATGCCCTCCAACCTTATAGATATACCCACCTATTACAATGCCCTCCAACCTTGTAGATATACTCACCTATTACAATGCCCGTTGTCATCTTTATAGTTCGGATCTTGGCTTGTGGTATGATTCCTCTGGAACTCCGAGACAAACTTCGTCTTTTACCATTACGAAATCCTCGAGATGTCTTGTGGGCTTTATAACCTAAAGGAAATAATGGCATTTATTTTTACACATTTGAGGGCATATTTTACAGACAATTTCAGACATAAGCATTGTTTACCATATTTTTTCTTTCTAAATTTAGCACTAGTAGAGAATATTCAGACCAGAGGTTCGGCTGGTATTTGATGACAACCGTTTAGTACTGAATTATACCTTTATATAATACCGCTCATATTTTTCAAACAGTAAAAAAACAGAAATGTTATTGTTGATGTACATTTTAAATAATATTTTTTAGAAAAAATGAGATTTAAAAAACGACAAGACTATGTCAGATTTACCTCCCGTTGATATCATTGATGCGCGCGGTTCAGGTGACATACGTTTTATACTATTTTCTAAATTTGTTAAATTATTCTATAAAATCCATGAAAACACAAAGTTAACAAAGAATCGTTTGAAACAGAGACTTGAGATGTCGATGTTAACATATAAATTAAATTTTAAGCAACAAATCAAACACGTGGTTGTCAGTCTTCCTACACTTGTCATATATTATATCACGAAATATTCCGTGAGGCATCTATTTCTGTAAAGGAGGCTCTATTGAAGCAGTAATATGGGGGAATTAAGCGAAAGCAAGTGTATATTTTCTGTATAACTCAATCTGTGAAAACCCTGGTTGCTATGGAGCTGTACAATAAACAGGTAGTGTCATATATTATATCACTCGTGGTCAAACATGCCATATATTATATCACACGTGGTCAGACAGGTCATATATTATATCACTCGTGGTCAAACATGTCATATATTATATCACACGTGGTCAGACAGGTCATATATTATATCACTCGTGGTCAAATAGGTCATATATTATATCACACGTGGTCAAACAGGTCATATATTATATCACTCGTGGTCAACAGGTAGGTCATATATTATATCACTCGTGGTCAAACAGGTCATATATTATATCACACGTGGTCAAACAGGTCATATATTATATCACTCGTGGTCAAACAGGTCATATATTATATCACTCGTGGTCAACAGGTCATATATTATATCACTCGTGGTCAAACAGGTCATATATTATATCACTCATAGTCAACAGGTCATATATTATATCACTCGTGGTCAACAGGTCATATATTATATCACTCGTGGTCAAACATGTCATATATTATATCACTCGTGGTCAACAGGTCATATATTATATCACTCGTGGTCAAACAGGTCATATATTATATTATATTGTAGCCACTGTGAAGCATGACCAGAATAATGTAGTTGAACAGCTGATCCACGGACTTCTACTCAGCCAAGTAAGCGCTTCGATATTCTTTTTTTATATATATATTTATAGTTTTCGTCCTAGTTGTCAATCATATCCAACTTTGGCCGTATACGCATTCGAGTTATACACATTCAAATCGGCTCCTATCCAAGGAATTTCTGACAGACGCAGCAATTATTGTAAAAACATACAGAGAAGATCTATGTACAAATATATTGACTGGATTAAAATTATTCATTTCTAACAGACGTTTGTGAGGAGACCCGACTTACAAACGTGTACTGGATTTTTTTATGGTTACGTCAATGCAAATGTCTTAGTAACGCTTGAACTCTCAACATTTACAAATATGAAAGGTTACAATTACACATGTCACAAGACATTACTTGGTCCTAATGCAGTTTTTGTATCGAACGGAATCTCATAAAGGCTCATTATAAACATTCAGGAAAATTTAACAATGAAATTATCATATCACCTAGCTTCTATCACGCAGACTGGGAATGAATTCGGACAGCTTAGGGTGTGTCATTTTGTCATTTTCGAATAAGAGTACCTGGTACAAACAAACAAATATCGTTGTTCTCGTATATATTGTTTCTAATATTTGTTGAAAAGGTAAAAAAAAATCGCTTTTTGGAGAACATAAACGTTTTCATTTCATAATTTAAGAAATGACGATTTTTCCGGAAGCAGGAAATATGAAAATGCCTAAAGACGAAAAAAAAAATGTTTGTAGTATCCCCTTTCCTCACAAAGGGATTCAGAAATAAAATAACACAAAGCATCAACCCCGTTTCTTTCACAACAGTTATTACTCAAGTCACACTAACTACTCCATCACTGATCTGGGTATCGAACCCGGATCCTTCTGGCGAAAGCCAAAGAATTGGAAGTACACGATGCACTGGGAGAGACCAGCGAACGAACACTGGATGTGTGTTGGTAACATGATTGACAATATGTCTTGGGATTGGCGCTTTTTTCCGGAGTAAAGTTTACAGACAACCGATAACTGAAAATGTTCTAAAGCTATTTGTTAATTTTTACCATTTTTGGGAGAAACATCGCTCCTGTCTCTTTTGGGTTTCACATCTGTACATTCAAACGTCTTCTGCAGGAGAATGTGGATGATGGCGCCGTAGCAATAGATGATGATGACTGTCGGGATGAAGAACACAGCTACTGCTATCAACACTAGGTATAGCTGAGGAGAAAAACATCAAAGAACTGAGAGTTCTATCTGTTCTAGATATAACTGAGGAGTAAACATCAAAGTACTGAGTGTTCTATCAGATCTAGATATAGCTGAGGAGTAAACATCAAAGTACCGATAGTTCTATCAGATCTAGATATAGCTGAGGAGTAAAGATCAAAGTACTGAGAGTTCTATCAGATCTAGATATAGCTGAGGAGTAAACATCAAAGTACTGAGTGTTCCATCAGATCTAGATATAGCTGAGGAGAAAACATCAAAGTACTCATTGTTATATCAGATCTAGGTATAGCTGAGGAGTAAACATCAAAGTACTGAGTGCTCTATCAGATCTAGATATAGCTGAGGAGTAAAGATCAAAGTAATGAGTGTTCTATCTGTTCTAGGTATAGCTGAGGAGTAAACATCAAAGTACTGAGTGTTCTATCAGATCTAGATATAGCTGAGGAGTAAACATCAAAGTACTGAGTGTTCTATCAGATCTAAATATAGCTGAGGAGTAAACATCAAAGTACTGAGTGTTCCATCAGATCTAGATATAGCTGAGGACTAAACATCAAAGTACTGAGTGTTCTATCAGATCTAAATATAGCTGAGGAGAAAAACATCAAAGTACTGAGTGTTCTATCAGATCTAGATATAGCTGAGGAGTAAACATCAAAGTACTGAGTGTTCTATCAGATCTAGATATAGCTGAGGAGTAAACATCAAAGTACTGATTGTTCTATCAGATCTAGGTATAGCTGAGGAGTAAACATCAAAGTACTGAGAGTTCTATCAGATCTAGATATAGCTGAGGAGTAAACATCAAAGTACTGAGTGTACTATCAGATCTAGATATAGCTGAGGAGAAAAACATCAAAGTACTGAGAGTTCTATCAGATCTAGATATAGCTGAGGAGTAAACATCAAAGTACTGAGTGTTCTATCAGATCTAGATATAGCTGAGGAGTAAACATCAAAGTACTGAGTGTTCCATCAGATCTAGATATAGCTGAGGACTAAACATCAAAGTACTGAGTGTTCTATCAGATCTAAATATAGCTGAGGAGAAAAACATCAAAGTACTGAGTGTTCCATCAGATCTAGATATAGCTGAGGAGTAAACATCAAAGTACTGAGTGTTCTATCAGATCTAGATATAGCTGAGGAGTAAAAATCAAAGTACTGAGTGTTCTATCAGATCTAGATATAGCTGAGGAGAAAAACATCAAAGTACTGAGTGTTCTATCAGATCTAAATATAGCTGAGGAGTAAACATCAAAGTACTGAGTGTTCTATCAGATCTAGATATAGCTGAGGAGTAAAGATCAAAGTACTGAGTGTTCTATCAGATCTAGGTATAGCTGAGGAGTGAACATCAAAGTACTGAGTGTTCTATCAGATCTAGATATAGCTGAGGAGTAAACATCAAAGTACTGAGTGTTCTATCAGATCTAGGTATAGCTGAGGAGTAAACATCAAAGTACTGAGAGTTCTATCAGATCTAGATATAGCTGAGGAGTAAACATCAAAGTACTGAGTGTTCTATCAGATCTAGATATAGCTGAGGAGTAAACATCAAAGTACTGAGAGTTCTATCAGATCTAGATATAGCTGAGGAGTAAACATCAAAGTACTGAGTGTACTATCAGATCTAGATATAGCTGAGGAGAAAAACATCAAAGTACTGAGAGTTCTATCAGATCTAGATATAGCTGAGGAGTAAACATCAAAGTACTGAGTGTTCTATCAGATCTAGATATAGCTGAGGAGTAAACATCAAAGTACTGAGTGTTCTATCAGATCTAGATATAGCTGAGGAGTAAACATCAAAGTACTGAGTGTTCTATCAGATCTAAATATAGCTGAGGAGTAAACATCAAAGTACTGAGCGTTCTATCTTTGTTTTTTTTTTCATATTTTGCCCCAGTTTTTATGTAATTAGAGTTTGAATAATGATTATGTTGGCATGTTCTTTTTTTCTTGATTTTTTTTATTGTGTCAGGCTATTATACTCTAGTGGAACACGAGTTTATGCACTGTGATATGAGACATCAAATGATATATTTAATCTGTTGTTGAAGAATATTTTTAGTGACTTCACTTTTGTGTAAAGAACATATACCTTATACTTTGATATTATCAATTATACATATGAAACAGTCAGTTGATGACCTTGTCGTACCTACCTGCCATTGCCATTCTTCAAAATAATTTATCATGCAGGAACCTTGTATGTCCTCAAACAGGAACATGGGCAGGGAGAATAAAGCAGCAACTGCCCAGGCTGATATAGTGAGCACCTTGCAACGCAAATCTGGACAAACCAAAACAATTTTTCAGTCTCGCACAAATGTACCAACTGACAACAACTCTCGAAAATCTCGTACAAATAGAAACAATTTTATGAAATGTACTATGCGCTGATCGATATATTTCGGTACAAATATTTATTAACATTTATTAATTAACTACTAATAAAATTTAACTGCTAGATACATGGTGCACGTGACTTGATAATAAATAAACATAAATGGCACACAGAAAGGAGAAATACTTACTTGCATTGGTGATACCGTCTATAGGACGGGCGACAGCGTCCCATCTATCCACACTTAATGCTACTAACATATAGGTGGAGCCATAGGTCACAACGCCCTGAAAAATAAGAAATAAAGGTCACAAACTGTAGGTGGCGCCACGGGCAAACATTAGGATAAATCTAAATTTAAGTTTCACAACATATAGGTGGCGCCATAGGTCACAACGCCTGTAAAATAATATATTAAGGTCACAAACCCGTAGGTGGCGCCACGGGCAAGCGTTAGGATAAATCTACAGTTAAGTTTTACATCACATAGGTGGCGCCATAGGTCACAACACCATGTAAAATAAGAAATTAAGGTCACAAACCTGTAGGTATCGCCACGGGCGAACATTAGGAAAATTCTACAATTAAGTTTTTACAACATATAGGTGGCGCCATAGGTAACCAAGCCCTGTGAAGTAAGATATTTAGGATTTCTTAAATATAGATGGCGCCGTAGATCACCATCTGTAAAGACATCAGGACAAATATACACTAAAGGTCCATGAGATATAGGAGAGTCATAGGTAATCGCGTCCTGTAAGCATTAAAATACCCAAACATTTTAACCTACAGCGGCGCTATCATCACGCCCTGTAAACACTGGGATATGTCTACATTTAAGGCTACAGCGGCGCCATGTCATCACGCCCTGTAAACATTAGGATAAGTCTACATTTTAACCTACAGCTTCGCTATCATCACGCCCTGTAAACATTAGGATAAGTCTACATTTTAACCTACAGCGGCGCCATGTCATCACACCCTGCAAACATTGGGATAAGTCTACATTTTAACCTACAGCTTCGCTATCATCACGCCCTGTAAACATTAGGATAAGTCTACATTTTAACCTACAGCGGCGCCATGTCATCACACCCTGCAAACATTGGGATAAGTCTACGTTTTAGCTTACAGACTCGCAAGGAGAGGTCATCTCTGTTACGGTGATAGGAAAAGGTTTGATTGTACATACCTGTAAATATTTGACAATTTTACAAACGGGGTCTCCACCTTTCCATTTTCCATCAACCATCAAGACAAGGTCGGGAAGAACACTGAACAGGCCAACAAGTAGGTCTTAAATGCAAAAACAGAACGAAATATTAACAAGTTATTTCATAGATAAAAAATGTCTACACATCCGTTCCGTTGGGAATTTTAAAGACATGTACGTGATAATAATGCAATTATCAATAGAGTGTATTTTGTCGAAACATTATTTTCATCCTCAAACATCGTTCATGTTTTTTCTTTAATGATAATAAATACGGTTAGATCCAGTCAGGCTTTGTGTCTCGTTTATCTGTAATCAGTGGTATGTAGTTACGGACAATGAAGGTAAAAACCGGTGGCTAGATGTTAGATGATGAAGACAAAAAGACATAACAGCAATAGCTAGTTGTCGGATAATGAAGATAAAAAGACATACCAGCGATCGCTAGATGTCGGATGATGAAGATAAAAAGACATACCAGCGATCGCTAGTTGTCGGATGATGAAGATAAAAAGACATACCAGCGATAGCTAGATGTCGGATGATGAAGATAAAAAGACATACCAGCGATCGCTAGTTGTCGGATGATGAAGATAAAAAGACATACCAGCGATCGCTAGTTGTCGGATGATAAAGATAAAAAGACATACCAGCAATAGGTAGATGTCGGATGATGAAGATAAAAAGACATACCAGCGATCGCTAGTTGTCGGATGATGAAGATAAAAAGACATACCAGCGATCGCTAGTTGTCGGATGATGAAGATAAAAAGACATACCAGCGATAGCTAGATGTCGGATGATGAAGATAAAAAGACATACCAGCGATCGCTAGTTGTCGGATGATGAAGATAAAAAGACATACCAGCGATAGCTAGTTGTCGGATGATGAAGATAAAAAGACATACCAGCGATAGCTAGTTGTCGGATGATGAAGATAAAAAGACATACCAGCGATAGCTAGATGTCGGATGATGAAGATAAAAAGACATACCAGCGATAGCTAGATGTCGGATGATGAAGATAAAAAGACATACCAGCGATCGCTAGTTGTCGGATGATGAAGATAAAAAGACATACCAGCGATCGCTAGTTGTCGGATGATGAAGATAAAAAGACATACCAGCGATCGCTAGTTGTCGGATGATGAAGATAAAAAGACATACCAGCGATCGCTAGTTGTCGGATGATGAAGATAAAAAGACATACCAGCGATAGCTAGTTGTCGGATGATGAAGATAAAAAGACATACCAGCGATAGCTAGTTGTTGGATAAAGAATGTCATTCGTGACCTTCGTTTCTTTCTTGATATCCATACAGCTAGGAGCACAATCAAGTTCCCAATAATGATAGCGGCGAAAATACAGCTGTCAAAAATGATTCTCTCTCTCTGAAACAAAAAAAATCCATATTTAGTATAATGATTCCTCTATTTTATTTCGTAACCTACATTAACTTAAGGCATCCACTGAAATAACTCTATGTGTCCCGGCGGTATCTTGTGATAATTGTGTGATATGTTTAAGTGAAAAAGATTGTTAGTCACTATCAGTTTTTACTTTTATTTCAAGAGTGAAAATTATTACAACTTAATTTGAATTTGAATGGATGGATAAACGAAAAACTAATTATGTAGTTATACTGTTGAAGCAAGTTTGCTTGAAAATGTGAATTTTGTCAATGGCAAACTCTAAATCTAATGCAAATTATTTCTGTCTAGAAATAGCTAAGATGGATTTAGCTGAATCAAGCTTAGGCAGACACAGCAAAGAAAACGTAGAATTCATTTCGCATTGATGTACATCTAAAATGGTTATGCACTTCATATAAAAGTACACGTACATTGTAAATTCTTCCTTCCTTACCCAGGATATTTGCATAGCCAACGCATCTACATTCCAAATGAACATTTGTCTTGTAAATTATACCCAGTTCAATTGTAAAATGTTCTTTAAATAAACACTAAAAACATTCTGGCATCATAAAGCGTGGTCGTAACTAGACGTAATTAAAATAGTTGGACACAGGCCGCCCCGCAGCAACGTTTGTGGTGCATCCATGCAAGGAGGATAGTTTAACAAAAAATAACACTTTTCTCGTATTCGTCAGATTAGGACAAGGTGTACAGTTATGCATATTGATTTGTTATTTATTGCCTTTTCCTAATTATAAAAATATCGTTTCAAGGAATTAAGGTTTAGTTACAAACACCCTAAATTATATTTTGTCTCCGTCTCTCCGCTAATCTCGTTCACTCAGCAGCTTAATAGTTTCATCAATATTTCAAGAGTCTGGTTGAGCGAGATCATTTCTCAATTGGAGTACTGCTTCTGGTACTCGGGAACAACAGAAAATATAGACTACAAATATAGGAAGGGAGGTAATTCACTCCAACCTCTTAATTTAATTTTCAAAATCTGGATTTTGAATGGCTCCGCTCGGACGCCTGTGGCTTCTGATTGCTAGGTCCTTATAACGCGCAAGAGGCGTGCGAGCGAAACACGGTAGCATGCACGAGACAAAAGTAATATTGATGCAATTGAGAAACTTTTTCCCGGAAGTGGAGAGACATGGCGCAAAAGTACTCCGGACTTCCTGAGGCTTATGTTTTTCAAAAATCCTGTGACAACATTTTCGTTTTCTTAAATTTTTTGCTTGCTCTTAATATTTGCTAAACCGAAAGATGATTTTAAAGAAAGGAAATTGGCATGAAGTAAAATAACTTTATTCATTCAAGTATCCGCCGTATAACGCCAACCAATATCATGACGTCACAACATAAGCACAAGCAAATAAAACGTCAACGTCATATACACTTCGACATCGATCATTCGTTGTATTGCTCCAAGTTTTCCAATTGTTCTTCATTTCTTTAAGCACTCGGCAGATACTCAAAATGTGTAGTTAAACTTTTTTGATACTTTTAACCGAGAATGTCATTTTGACGTGTCAACTGCTCTTTATTTCTAATCGACATTATTTTCAGACATAATAAGTCCAACTTCCTGTGTTTTGTGCCCTAGTGCATGTCGGGTGATGAAAGAAACACCTGTAATTAAACTTATTGTAAACACTAAGGCTATGACACCGCCCTAGAGTCAAGGTAAACTGCACGTCTTTGACAGCTCGAGAGTTAAATGATTTTTTTATCTCCCTGTGCAACGCATCACGAAGCAAACACTTATTGAAGTTTTAAACATAATATTTTTATATACAGATTTTTAAAATCAAATTTAAGTTTTAATATCGGAATCTACGGCATGTATATGGACTCGAAGCATGATAACAATTTATTTAACACTCAATCAGAACCATAAATTGTTTCTCGTAGCTGAAACTTGCAATAAAATGGTTATTCGGGAGCTAATGCCAATCGATGTACGATCTATTTAGCGGTGTGGTATGATGTTCTGTTCATGCGCAAACACAAATGTTAAAATGCTTCTTCTTTAACTTTTGCTCATAAATATTTCCTCGTTATGTGTTATTGGTACAATTAGTATCAACAGAAATCGTGTGCTTGAAACAGAGTACGAGTCAGCGAGAAATGATCTCCCAATAACTCCATGGCTTGAGATTACGACACGGCCATTTTCTTGCAAATTCAATTTACATAAAACAGATTTGGAGAGGTTTAAGACCCTTTTCTAAGAGTCTATTGATAAATGTTTCCAAGCCTTGCTTTCCGTGCAGATTCCTTGTTGCTGCTGTCAGACAGCATGTGTACCTCAGACAGCGTTTGAGATCTATAAATAGATCTATTATGACCATTTCTCCCTGTCACGATTTACCCGGTCGCTAATTTTAATAGCAACGCTTAGCCGACAGAATTTAACATCATGTTTAAAAATCATAGATCACATCATAACTTAATATTTTAAATGACACAATACTTTTCTACGCAGGTGAGATAATATTTTATGAGAACCATACAACCTGTTTCTCGTAAATTTCTCCCCTTCAATAACAGATTTAAGATTGCATATGTTTGTTCATTCACCTGAAATTTCTAAAGGTGTTCATCTCTCCTTACAACTAAGGTAATCAGATTTTAACACATTTTAACAAAGAAAAATTAAAGTGTATTTAAAATTATTGTCGACAGAAAAAATTACTGCAAAAGATATTCATACTCGCTTGGGTAGAATATTTGTATTGCTTTAGACACCTAATTCAATGTATATAAGAGTGAGTGCGTCTTCACGTGTGCTGCGAGGAAAAGTGTTTCACATCATATCCGTCGTTCTATGTTCGTAGATATAACTGTTTATTTAAATAAAAGATATCGTTATTGCGTAATGTGTTTATCTAATTATTATTTATTAATTACTGTTACGCAATGCAATGCCGTGAGACACGTGTCAGGTAAACAAAAGATGAAAATAGGCTCATATTTCCATGCACGATGTTTCCGTTCATATAAACACGCTTAAGTCGAACCATCGGATGAGTCGAACATTTCATTTGGTCCCGTCGAGTTCGACTTATCCGTGTTTTACTGTATTTCCATATCCAAAAATTATTTTAATGAATTAAAATTTGAATTTATCATATTTGAAGCAAGTTTTTTTCTTATAGTGTTAACCAAGGTTCCTTTCAGTCAGATATTTGGTTAAACAAACCGGCTATAGGATGTAGTTACGTAACTAATTTAACTTGAAGTTGTTTTAAAATTTTCCGATATATAAAAATTACGAAATTTATTTAATTATTGGGATGGTGCATCCCCCCGTCTGAATTTTGGCTTTCCTTTCGATCTTTTTCTATTTCCTCAGTCGACTCCGTGACTTCAAAGGTTATACCCTTAGCATCACTGACGAGTCATAGAAGGACGAAACAATGTATGATGTAACATCACTGACGAGTCCTAGAAGGACAAAACAGCTGTATGAATATAACATCACTGACGAGTCTTAGAAGGACGAAACAGCTGTATGAATATAACATCACTGACGAGTCCTAGAAGGACGAAACAGCTGTATGATGTAACATCACTGACGAGTCCTAGAAGGACAAAACAGCTGTATGATGTAACATCACTGACGAGTCCTAGAAGGACGAAACAGCTGTATGATGTAACATCACTGACGAGTCCTAGAAGGACAAAACAGCTGTATGATGTAACATCACTGACGAGTACTAGAAGGACGAAACAGCTGTATGATGTAACATCACTGACGAGTCCTAGAAGGACAAAACAGCTGTATGAATATAACATCACTGACGAGTCCTAGAAGGACGAAACAGCTGTATGAATATAACATCACTGACGAGTCCTAGAAGGACGAAACAGCTGTATGATATAGCATCATGACGAGTCCTAGAAGGACGAAACAGCTGTATGATGTAACATCACTGACAAGTCCTAGAAGGACAGCTGTATGATGCAGTTTAATTCATTGTTTGACTCAACTATATCCAATATGTGTACTTTTGGGTCTTTTGAGAAATCTTTACACCTATTTGTACTTTTAATATATAACTTTATCTACTTGTCATAAGTAACTTTAATTGTACTTATATCCTCGGTTGGTATTCCGTCATATTTAACTGTATTTTTTTTTCGTAATTCGAGAAAGTTGACACAGCTGGCTTAAATTCATAACTATATCGTAAGTTGACAAAACTTTACATGTCTTAAATATTCAAGTTAGTTCACACATGTTAAAGTGTAAAACTATTTAAAGGAATATCCTTTGTCTATGGACAATAGCAGCAGAAAATATCTTGGTAAACAGTCCCCGTTCTTCATAGAATCTTATGTGTGATAAACAAGTTTTTTATGTCAGTTTTGTATGGTTTGAAAATACGGAAAGTGCTGTCAGGTTAATCAGTAGGATGTGGTGTTAGGCGATATTGTAGGTAAACATAACTTTGCACATATCAGACGATTCTAACACAAACCATAAATAAGCCATAAAACCGTCAATCATCAAATCGCAAAACGAACTCCTTCCTTCAACTTTCAACATTTATCCCAGAAAGCCGTAGAAGAATACGACCAGGTGTTCCATAAGAGTAACGTCTTCTTGCATCATGGACGATACTCGCCATGTAAACTTTGTCAATCCTTCTAAGTAAAAGAACATTCTCAAATGACAACAAGTAGGTAGAAAGGTAGATATGTGATATGTACAGACGATGTCATTGTGTTATATCTGGTGTGTGTTTGACTGATGTGATATGTACAGAAGACGTCATTGTGTTATATCTGGTGTGTGTTTGACTGATGTGATATGTACAGAAGACGTCATTGTGTTATATCTGGTGTGTGTTTGACTGATGTGATATGTACAGAAGACGTCATTGTGTTATATCTGGTGTGTGTTTGACTGATGTGATATGTACAGAAGATGTCATTGTGTTATATCTGGTGTGTGTTTGACTGAT